CTGCCTAAAATCCTAAATCAGGTTTCTGTTCAGTTTAAAAGCATAAAACTGATAGCTCCCGCCTACTCATTTCACTGGAGCAAGCCGTTTATTTTTATTGTTGAAATTTGGTGACATCTCAGCAGGCCCAACCAATATAACACAATAAACAATACATATTAAATAAAGCAGAACTCGTAACTATTGTGCTGCTGGTCTTCCCAATAAAGTCCATTGAATCCTCAAAAGAACTTAAAAAAAACTCACATTATCCAATCTATCCTTTCATTTTCATTCATTTTGGGGGATTTAGCCGCTCTATAAAGTATTGAGGTTTTGTTCATAAAACCATTCTGGGAAACTATGTTCATTAAGAAATAACAAACAAGTGACTAAGAAGAAAACTATGTGGATTTTTCAAAGGAAATCCATCGCTTTAATGACAAAGCACAGTGACGTAAAGTGCTATCCACAAAGCTTTGAGTTTGGCTGCATATAAAAGATTTATTTAGTCGAGTGTGCGGCACAAACAGAACCGCTCATTGTTGTCAGAGCTTGTTTCACTAAATCATAGAGGATCAGAGCCCATGAAAACATCCAAATACAAAACATCCGCTCAAAAAGACAGGGAAGCCATCTATCTGGATACATGCAGCCATAAACGTAAACTATATTTGTTTATATGAGCAGGGATTGTAGAAATTTAAGTCCCTACGACAGGTCATTTTACTAAAACATAGTTAAGATCATTAGGGAAAAGCTCCTCTAATGTACACAGAGATTATTATTTGACAAAAATATAAGACAGCCTTTATTTTGTTGAAGCAATGTTTAAAGTATCAGAAAAAAATATGTTGCTTGCAAATTGTTTTACTTATGAAAAGAGTTTTGCGTTGTGATGGTGATGATGTTTAGAAGTCCCTTGTAACTCTCAACAGATTTTTCAACTTTTTAATCACAAATTGCTGCCTCAGTTGTTTAAAACTATAATTTATATTTTACAACACCAAATTAAGTAAAAATTTGAGAATCATCAGGACCTGTCACACGCACTTTTATCAACGTTTTTATCAGTCAATCAGTTCATCTGTTACGTGTTCCATTTTACTACTTAGCTTTACTCGTATGTTTTATGTTGACTTTATGATGTTTTTATGTGCTGATGAGCAAAAGATGAATTTCTGACTCAGTAAACAATAAACACTCTATTCTGTCAATAAGCTTTTAGTGTTTTCTAAGTGAGGCTACAGGAATCCCTTTGATCCATCCTCCAACAGTCCAACCTTCAGAAGAAGCACAGTGCCCCAGGACCCATCTCCACATATTTTAGAGAGATCCAGGCAATTACGCAAATTGAAACACTTAACATTGATTGTATTGTATATAGGTGTGTGCAAAAATATTGAAATATCCATATATCATATCGCCTAATGTGATGATACAGGATCGATATCGTGGGCTGCTGTATCAATATATTGCCAAGAGTATTTTTTGGTGCATTTTACTAAATTATTTTGTAAGCGCTACAGTTTTTTTGTTTGTTTAGTCTCGTTTATGCGACACATTTGACAGATTCACTGTTTTAATTGTTAAAAACCTCTGGAATGCTCTGCCCCTCCACATACAAACAGAACCCACAGTGTTTAAAGTCTCGTCTTAAGACCCACTTTTCTTCTCTGGCTTTGAATACCGCGTGAGTTGTGTGGTCCTCTGTGTCTTTTATTTATTTATTTATTGTTTTTAACTATTTTATTTTTTAGTACTGCTTTTATGTATTGATTTTATTATTATTTTTTTTTTTATTCTATTAGTTTCCTCATGGTTGAAACATAATTGTGCTGTTTTTTTTAAAGTAAAATGTTACATTGCTATGTGAAGCACTTTGGAAACAGTTTTGTTTATAAAATGTGCTATATAAATAAAGTTGGACTGGATTAAAATGGGCGTGTTTCAAATTAACTTTGTGCAAGAAGTGGTTTAACAAAGACTTTTAGTATCACAGCCATGGTTTAGCCTTTATTTTTATTGAACCGTATCGAATTGATTTGAAATATATCGTATATCGAATCGAAAGTGTGCTGTGTATCAATATATGTATCGTATCATGGCCTATGTATCCAGGTATATATCGTATCGGCAACTTCTTAACCAAGCTCAGCCCTAATTGTGTATCTATTTAGTTGTATTTGTTTTTTTAATGTATTTTTTATTTGATTAAACTCTTTTTTGTTGAAATGTTTGTGTATAAATGGTTTTATATTGAACCTATAAGTATGTTTTTTAACTATCATCAACTTGGACTTGTCTTGTCTTTTGTTAAAACACCAAAAGACAGGAGGCAAATAAACTAAAATATTCTATCACGAGGTATATATTGAATTTGTATACTGTTACATTAAAAACCATTATGTCTTTCTGGTATTAATACAAATCAACACTCAACTAGGGTCAGTGTCTTTGGTAAAACTTTGAAATGCTGGATCAGTCCGCCCCCACAAACGCTGCCAACAACATCTTCTGCCAGTTAAACGTTTGTAGCACACTCTATAATCTCATGAGGCAAAAACAAATGAATGAATGAATGTGCAGCAGCTGAATGAGGCCCACCATGAGAAAAACACCCATTCAGCAGCTCAGAGCACTTCCTACTTTTCGGACGAGTAAACAGAGGGCGCGGACCCCCCTGCGGACACAAGCACAGTCTGTCTGGGACCCTGTTATTACCGACACTAACATGTTGAACCACTCAGACAACTGTTCCTGTGCGAGTTTGTCTACAGACAGCTTGTGTTGTTTGACTTTTTTTCCCTTTTCTGCTGAAGTAGTTCGAAGCCGGTGGAAGTAATTTGGAAAGAATGCAGTGGGGCAGGGAGGGGTGGCGGGCCGTTAAACCAGCAGGCTCGGCCCCAAATGAAAGCGCCCGAGCTAACGAAGCTAACGAGGGCGGATGCTAATTGAAGAGGCTCCCAGCGTGGCGTCACACACAGACAGACGCACACGTGTACCAGGAATTTACACACAACCAGGAAAACAATGGGCTCTCACAGATTCAATTATGCAGCATATTTATAACACAGTGTAAAATGTAGTTTCAATGTTTGGCAAGCTACATCAAGTACACAATGCTGTCTAATGAGCAGTTACTACTAATATGTCGGCCTATTAATGGAACAGAAAGAAAAAGACACACAGGCAAAAGATTGTTGGAGCCAATGTGCAAGTGGAAATCTGTACAACTTAGCAACCAAATGAACAACAATGAATACATGAACTGTGTTATGTCTTCTTTTTTCTTTTCTTTTTATCATTAAATAAAATGTGTTTTTTTTAACATTAATAATCAATCCATTTAAATCAAACTAATATTTTACTTTTCTAAGCTCTTCGTTTACTTTATCTCTGACCTCTTTTATAGTTTAGTTTATTTATTTAATGAGACAGGGACAGTGCACAAGCTACATTAACCTTAACAGGAGAGATGCTTTGTACCAGGTTATGGGGCCAGTGTTAATTTCCACCTGTTTTCCCTGGGCAGGTTGATGTTATAGTTCATAAAATCAAACATACATAGAGAATGTCTTTATAATATAAGGTTAATGCAAAAATTGTGCGCTGTCCTTGTCTCAAATAAATAAATAAATGGTAAATGGTCACATTTTTCTACAGCGCTTTTCCACCTTCAAGGCACTCAAAGCGCTTTACAACAAGGAACCACTCACCCATTCACACACACATTCACACACCAGTGTACGCAGACACTGTGGGCAAGGTGGGTTAAGTGTCTTGCCCAAGGACACAATGGCAGCATTCATCTGTGGGAGCTGGAATCACACCAGCCAACCTGTGGGTCAGTGGATCACCTGTGATGTTTTTTTTTTTTTTTAAGTCGAGACCTGGAATCGAACTGCTGACCTTCAGATCAGTGGGCGAATGCTCTACCAACTGAGCTACTGCTCAGTGGGGCGGCAGTTTATTTTAAATAAATAAACAATGAAGTGGGTAAATCATAAGAATTCTGTATCATCATTCACTTCCAGTTCTCTCAGCATCTTAAAAACATCATCCTTATCAAGCGCATCATTCAGTTCATTCACTCCAGAGCTTCACTCTCTCTTCACTCATCAGTCCACACTATCGGTATCTTTGCTAAAGTAAAATAATGTTGTATCATCAGCAAATAGAATCTTTCCAAGTTCAGAAACTTTAACAAAATTGTTCATGTATAATATAAATAATTGGGGCCGAAAAATCGAGCCTTGGGGCACACCCTATTTAATATCATACCTTTCTGATTGTGTGTTATTGATTTGTACATATAGTTTTCCGTTTTCTAAAAAGCTCACTATTCATTGATGACCCACTAATGCCATACTTGCCTACTTTCTAAATAATCTCGAATGATTTATTGCATCAAAAGCTTTTTGTAGGTCAGTGAATATACTTAAAAATATTTCCCATTGTCAATTTCAGTTGCTATTTTTTCGGTAAGTTCCATTATTGTCATTGCAGTTGAATGCTCTGCCCTAAATCCATACTAGTAATCATTCAAGATGTTTTGCTTTTATAAAAAACTATCAAGTCTCCAGTATTTTTGAAAACAGTGGAACTATTTTTGCTAATTTCATTTTGTCAGGGAAAATGCCCATTGTTAATGATAGACTGCATATGTATGTGAAAGGCAAGAACAGATTCAATTATATATCTTTTACACTGTAATACTTAATAACTTAATCACTTAATAATATTTGTAGAACTTGTTTGTCAATGGATACTTTTACATTCAATAAAGTGTGTCCATGGGTTTAAACTGCAGCTGAAATAAACCATCTTAAAGTAATATTATATACAATCTAATTTAAGGTTTGAACATTGACACAAATCGTCTTTCAAAAATAATTAAATTAATCTGTTTCATGAGGTATCCAGTATCTCAGCGTAATTTCCCTGCTGTGTAGTACTGTATGTTGATTATGAAGTGCTCCAGTTCTGTGTGTATTTCGTTCGTTATTTTGTTCTCCCACCTGTTCCTCTGTGATGAGCCCTTGGTGCCTCTCTCCATCTGGGTTGGTGAAGTCCAGGGGCAGACTCTGGCACAGCTGCCCCAACAACATGGACACCTCCTTCATACTGCGCCAACAGCACACCAGCACCATCTGAGCGGTCACACGGTAGCCCTCTCCTTACAGAAGAAGAGATTACAGAAAAATGTGATGATAAACTTTTCAAATTTCAAATTTTCAAAAGAACAAAACCTATTTAAACATAGTATATTTAACTTTAAAAGGGGAAACCGCAGATTATGTGAAGGAAAGATGGGAAAGAGAAGCAAACATATGAAATTTCAGTAGAGGATTGGAACAAATAATTTTATGTCAGTGGACAACCACAAAATCTTTGTTTTGGAGGGAAAACGGATGGAAGAATATAAATAGATTCTTTCTGACCCCTGCACAGAGGAAATATGCAAATATGAAATGTTCCTGTGGTACTTCCAAGGCAGATCACTTTCACATTTTTTGGTGATGCCCACTATTGAAATCATATTGGATGGGAATTAAAATTATAACTTAAGAAGTAGGTTTCCTCTAAATTTTGAAGTTTTTTTTATCTGGGTAAAATAGATATACTGAACTTAACTAGAAGGAAAGATCATAAGATAATGAAACTTATGCCGTTGGCTAGCAAAAAGGTAATCACCAAAAGATGGCGAATGGATCAAATATGTAAGGTAGAAGAGTGGGTGGATGTAACGCTTAGTATATAAAATATGGAGAAAGTGACGGCATCAGTTAGGCTGGAGATAGACAAATTAGAAAATTTATAGAGGGGATGGCTGAATTATATTACACAAATGCAGTCTGACTTTGTATAGAGTCTGAAACTTATCAGTCTGTTTAGAAATAAGAAATATATGTGAGTATGTGTATGTATGTGCATGTACATATGTGTGTATGTGTATACTTATGGTATGGATACGAGGATATTACTATGTAACAAAATTCCTGTAAGATTATCTTTTTTAATTTGTGAAATAAAAAATAAATAATAAAAAACAAGAGCATATTTAAAAGTGCATTACGTAACTTGTCACTAAATCTAGTCTTCTTGGAGTTACACATGTTTAAGCCCATACTGTGGAACAATCCAAGCAAAGCAATAACATCTCAAGTGCCCTCCACCACTGACTTAATGCAGCTTTACAGTCATTATTTCTGTGTTGTAAGTTGTAAGTTTTGTAATCAACATCATCAATATTATTCCCAGGAATAATTATATAGATAACAAAAGTATCCTAGCCCACATGGCAATTAATCTAACAAAAATGTACAGTAAAGACAAAAGGAAATGTAACAAAGTCAGACAGTGCCCCCGTTTGAAGACTGAGTGAACTACAATAATATCATACAAGACAAACATTCCATGACTTCTTTAAAGCCATCAAAGCTGGGCAACATATCAAATTATTGATGAATTATTGTGAATATCATTTTGAACATGTGCAAAATTTGGTTTATCATTTATATATTTTTAAAACTGCTTGCTTGTGTGCGATAAAAATTTTACATTTGTTTGAATAGAGTTAATTACACATTTTAGCATATTTCTATAGCATTGCCAACATTTTTCTTAATAATTAGTCATATAATACGTAATGAATTTGGCGTAAGAGTACATTTCTGACCTGTGTCCAGTGAAGCATTGTGGGTATTGTTTGCTTCCTCCTCAGTTTGCTCCGGCTCTAATTCTCTGGCGCTGGTGAAGAAGTCATTGGTGTCTCGAGGTTGAATCTCCTGAAGGATTTTCTGCAGACCAGCCGAAGCTTCTACACACATTTTTAAGTTTTGTTGAATAAATGTAATGTAATGAATGACTGAAATGACTGAATTATTATTATTACCAGAGTCAGTATCCATGGGGATTAGTCCTTCAGGGGAGGAGCTCTGTACGACCGGAGCGACCACATCAGACGTCCTGTAGCAAACGGTGATCAGCTCTGAAACAAGGGCTCGCCACTGCTCAGCCTCAGACAGACTCCTAAAAAGACCACATTTAATAATACAAAAGTGAGTCAATTTTTTGTCCAAACAGTTCCTCAATATTTAAGTATCACCATAACTATTCTTACTGATTATCATATAAACTAGAGTAATTTTCAATGTCTTCTTTTCTTCTTCTACTTAGTAATACTATTTCAAAATAACTACCAACCACCAAAACTGGATATTTAGTGCATGCATGTAACTTTTTCATCCTTACTCAGTGTTTAGCTGCTGGAGCACTGCTGTGATACAGTGGCAGCGTCCGTACAGAGGAAATGAAGCTGCAGCCTGAAGAAGAGACGACTCTGCTCTGATCACCTCCGACTGAAGACAATGGAGTAAGAACCGGATCACTGTGAAGCACAAGAGGAGAATAAACATAAATAATAAATATACTGGAAGAAAACTTAAAAAGTTAAAAGGTCCACTATGTAACTTTTCTGATGGGGTGTCTAGCAGCTGCTTGTCTCCATGGAATGTTCCACTGTATGGCATTAAACTTTATTCTTGCATTTATCCAACAGCAGATGTTTTTAAATACACAAAAAAATGCATTTTTGATATGAGGTGACCAGTCTCTTCTCAGAGCTGACCTGCTTGTCTCCACGAAGATAGGTTTATTGCCTATTTTACATACCCTGGAATAGTCCATGGAAAACAACCCATAACAATACAACATCTCCAGGTGGCAGCATTTCTTTTGTAAGCAGAACAAAATCCAACAATTTCCTCCTATTGTTACTGGCACTATAAAGCAAGTAAAAAGTACTACTGCTACAAATGTAACTGCACCTGTGAAAATCCATTTAGAATGTAGTAAAATATTTGTTCTACTATTTAAAATAACTTCTTAATAAAGTACCTGCCAAAGTGTTGATCTCTAATATAAGTTCATGGGAAGCGTCTGGAGGTGGGGCTGGAGGAGGCTGAAACTCAGGGACCTGTTCCTGGGCACAGAGCTTCAGAGCCTGGGTCAGGTCTGGCTCATGGATCAGGAGGTTCAGGAGGTGAGCAGCTGTCACACTGTCAAAGGGCTTAGTGCTGGTGCTGAGGTCCAGAGCAGCCTGAAGGACATCTGCCATCCGATCTGCAGCCTGACAAATAAATTGGAGAAAATTAGACACAAGGCATTTTATACATTGTTATTTAATTATTTAATGTATTTTTACAGTTTAATTATTCATCTAAAAATATTTTTACCTGTTTAATCAAGATAAGTAACATCAGTGAAAATGTTGTGGCGCAATAACGTTGTAATATACAGTTTTGTCACCAGATGGCACCAAAGGGCTGATTAAAGTACATAAAAGTATGCTTTTAATCACTCAAAATAAATATTGAACATGACAAAATATAGGGATGGCATTGTCAATTCCACTCATAGATCTGGTTCCTTAATAGTTCTTTTTTGATTTCTAAAAACATTAACATAACAGTATGTATGTATGAATGCATATGTTTATGTAGCTAGTTTTTTAAGCTTATATTTTACCTAATAAAAAGGACTATTCAAAGACGGGGTGCTGTGACTATATATAATATTATGAGTAAAATTGCAGTGCAGTTCATTGAGAAGTACTTTAATGGTTATACTGTAATTGTATTATAAATCATATGCATTCACTTATTGAAATTGGAAGTAAAATTTCACCTTCAGTCCCACTGTCACTGAGGGGAGTTGGCGCAGTAATGTTGACGCAAGCTGTTTGACTTCAAGAAAGTTACTGGCGATGCAGTAGAGGACATACTGAGCATGATCTGAAGTCACCACCTCACCCAGAGCAAAGATGTCGGGATCTAGGGAGACAATTGAGAACAGTAACATAAAAATACAATACAAAAAACATTTTTGTACTACAACATTGAGTGACTTAGTTCATAGATGCAGAACAATTTCCACATATACAGTAGTTTTATGTATTATTTATTACATAAAAATATGTAATTACATATTTATGTATTAAGTATTTGACTGTTTATCATATTTTTCAGTATTTGTATGAACACAGGTATACAATGAGCATTCTGTACCAGTGTTGAAGGTGAAAATCTGTCCCAACAGACAGAGCAGATGAAGGGACATGATGCATTTAGAGAACGACGCTCCGGGCAGCAACATGTCAAGAAGCACCACACACATCCAGCGCAGAAACTCCTACAAAAGAAATAAAAAACTAATATAGAAAATAATAAAAAGTGTTGTTACTGTGACGGGTCATCCACCTGTTTCTTTCCATGGATAAAGGCTTTCTACTGTATGGCATTAAATGTATCTATCTAGCATTCATTTCACTACAGTTGTTTTTATCGCCCATAAATGCCTTCAAAAACATGCATTCTTAATTGACTTTATGGTGATATATGTTTAATGCCATACTATGGAACATTGGAGGCAAGACAAAGACATTAATGGATCGAAGCAAGTTGCAGGCGCTCCCCCAGAAATTACATAGTAAAGATTTACATTGGTCAGACCTTGTAAGATTTTAGTGTTTCCTGGTCTTGGTTTTTCTGCTCCAGGTTTTTTTCTTGTCCAATTTTCTTTTGGAGAAATTGAGCACTGTCTTTCACCCGACACAGCAGCTGTTTAAAATAAGCAACAGTGAGTCAGTAAGTGGAATACTGTTACAAGAGTGTGCAATACAGTTTTGATTTCCAAACCTTTTTGAAGAGGCTAACAGTCTGCTGCCTGACACCTGGGTTTTGGCTGTTCAGATTTGGGGGCAGAAAATATTGAATGAGCGAAAGTTCCTGTGAGGTCAGAGTCTCTGTGCTGCGGTGGGACTCACAAACCAAACCCAGCGCATCCATCCTCACCTAAAAACAGACAGGGCAAATATGTAAGTGCATACAGTATTTATGTATGAGGAAGACAAAAGACATTTGGTCATTTACAAACTCACTTGATCATGTTTGTGCACGAGAGCTTGTCGGAGCAGAGACAGAGGGACCAATCCTCCCCAAAGACCCTCCTCCGAGGACGGGACGACCCCCTGAGCTCTGGCTGCTCTCAGGCAGGTCATGAGAGCCCCTAAAGCCCCCCTGCTGCCTGTTGGACCTGTGGGAAGATTGTCTGGTAAGAAATAACATGAACTGATTTTTTTGAGTGGATATTTTCTGACTTTACCTGAGCTGCCTGTGGGCATGTCCTGTAAGGCTTGCACCATGTGGGACAGACTGGAGGGGCTGCAGCGGAGCAGTTTGGGGAGGAAATAGTCCAGGATGTAGGTGGTCTGGTCCAGTCGGGCGCTGCACAGTACCTGCAGCAGAGGGGTGACCCAGGTCACATGCCACTGGTGCATGACAGGCCTCTGTGTGCCCTTCTACAGCCTGACTACACAGCTGAGCTTTGTGGCTCACAAACAGCCGCTCCAGCAGGTCACTGGCATAAGGAGCCAGTGTCTGGTCACCCATGAGGCCCAGGAGAGAGGAGGGGAGCTGGGGCTGCATCTCCAGGATGAATCCTGCGCCATAGAGCTCCACCAGGCAGCTGAGCGAGCCGTACTTACCCCTCATGTGCCACTCCAGCCCCAGAAGACTCTGAGTGAGGGAGGTGATATAAGGGTCAGTCCTGGGGTCCTGCTTAGAGTCTGAGGGGTCAGTGAGCCGGTGCAGGACCAGCAGGTTTTTAAACAGAGAGCGGGTTTGGTGCCTCACTCCATCCAGAGGGTGCTCCCAGTGAGAGTAGATGTGCTCTAGGAGGCGTTGTTGCAGCTCAGATCCTCCTCTCAGACTCTGCAGAGCCTCAGGACAGGGCTGTGTTCCCTGAAGACAGTCCAGAGCTGCTCCACTCCAGAGGGTCAAGACCCGAGCCACCACCATCGATGTGCTGGACTGTTTCACACTGCAGAGGGCAAAAACAAAGTACAAATGAATAATAACATTAATATGTCAGATATTACTCTTGATTTATGGTTTACCTGACGTCTAACTCCAACAGAGTTTGTGGAACCAACAGTAGTAATTGTTCCCACTGTGGCCCAGGGAGGGCGCCCTTCCAGCTCAACATGGCCAGAGCCCCATGACACAAGTACAGAGAGACTCCAGGAGGTCGCCCACTCGTCAAAACACCCTCACATCTGTGTCTTAACCACTGAGGAGCGAAGTCCAATCCCTCAGATGAACCACGCAATAAACTGTAGACCTAAAGTATAAACACTGTGCATTGGAAAAGATCATGTATTATCAAAACAAAACTAAAATCTAACTTACCACTGATGCAACTTCATCTCCAGATCCCATGATGGACCTGATCAACAGAACCACTGCCATCCCTGCAGTGCTCTGGACAGACTGAACAAACTCAACTGCAGACAAAATGAAAAGATAAACTGTATCTATAATCTCATTTACATTTCCACAGATTTACCCACATAAGATTATTATTATGTTGGTTACATTTTTTATGTTTTATTTTACTTTCTAAAATTTTAATTGTGTTCAAAATTACATAACATAAAATTTCAGTCTTTACCATCAGTCAGAATTTGCGTGTAGCATTCCAACAGGCTGCTCAAAGTGTCCTCAAAACGGCTCTTTTCATTCACGCTCTGTAACAAAGCAGTGATGGTGTCCTGGGATTTCTGCACCACCAGCATGGAGGTCTTCACAGCAGACAGACAGGAGTGCATGAGCTGAGCCTGAGCAATGTGCCGTCCTGCTAGATCACTACCACACCACCAGGGGGAGACAGACACAAACAAATGAATTAGTAAGTGAATAGATTTTGGGATATAATTTTATTGAATACCTGTTTTTGTGGAGGCATTTACTCAGGCCTGTATGAAGAAACTGCAACACTGTAAACAGGACATGTGTTGGTAAATTGGAAATTTGAAAAATAATTGATAAAAACACTGAAATATGAACTGACAAACTAATACACGAACCACATTTCATAATTTGTACAGATAGAAACTACAGCGATAGTATTTTTGCATAATAAAACAGGACATATTGTTGTTTGTGGAGGAAATGATGCTGCTTCAAACACCGCAGCCAAATTGCAATTTAAATTTGATTGCAATTCATCTTGCCGCCTAACCTGGACAGATCAAAACCATAATCATAAAAGGAAAAATTCTAATTTGACTCACCTTCGGGTAATATCTTGTTAATACACTTTTCACCTAAAAGATACAAAATCATATCAATGTTCATATCAAAATAAATGAGTTAATCTTAGTATGAACTGCAAACGGGTAAAAAATAGTACTAACCAATTTGGAAGCCATCGAGACACGCAGCAATGAGATCTACATTATGACTGAACTTGTCTGAAACAGGATTGGACAGACAGTCAGAAAGGCAGGATGATAAAGACTCTACTGCACAATCCACTGACCAGGCCGGGACTGAACCTAAGGCGCTGAGAAGCAAAAGCATGAATTATGTGAACTGCAATCTTAAATCTACAGTACAACCTTAAAGACTTGAACAACTTTTCCACCATAGCATGGACATTTCACCAGAGTCTTGATTGAGTAAAGCACTTAAAATCAGACCTATTTGTTTCTTGTTATTTAGTCAAGTTAGTCATTTCCCCCACAGAGAGAGAGAACACTGTAAAAGCCACACTAAAAATTGCCTTGCACTGTCCAAAGCAATGAATGTGTTTTATCCATCAACAAATCAGAGGATGTACATTAAAGTGTGTCTACAAACATTGCTGCTTGTACATATATGAGAGTAAAAACTCAAACACAAGAAAAACAACTTAGGAGCAATTATTCATTTATCTGTTTATCAACTAAGACTAAGATTTTTACAGAATTCATGACGCATTCGAGCAGTACCTTGCGATTGCACGTCTTAAGGGGTTTTTGGGCTGCAGTGAAGTGTAAACTAGAGCCAGCGTGTGGAGACAAGCTCCGAGCAGAGGTCCATCAGGTTGTTCCTCTGTGAGTGCCTCCAACTGTGCACCTGCCTGTGACAAAACAGATACACACAAGTTTATAGCGTGTTTTCACAGTTCATGGGTGTATTTTCAATTAATTCTAAGTAATTAGAGGCACAAGGGCTTTCTAAAACACTTTTCATGAGTAAAACTGTGATTATGCTTATGGTCATGTTTTGGGTTTTTTTGTTGTTGGTTTTTTTTTTCATTTATATAGAGCTTTTTTTTTTACCTTCAAGGCACTTAAACCGCTTTACATCAAGGAACCACCCACCCATTCACACACACATTCATACACCAGTGTACTCAGATCCTAATAGCAAGGTGGGTTAAGTGTCTAAGGATGTGTCAACAGCATCAGTGGGAGCTGGAATCACACCAGCCAACCTGTGGGTCAGTGGATCTGACCGCTCAACCAATGACGCTGCCAACCTTCAGACAAAGGCTCTACCAACTGAGCTACTGTCACCTGCTTATAACATAAAGCGTATTATATTTCACCTTTTACGTTAAAACTAGGTATAAAAACCAAAAAGTACATGTGTTATGTATTGTTTATGAAGTACAAAAGAACATATTTGAATGAGGGAGTTGTTGTGTCACACACTACATACGATAGTGGTTAGAGAACAAAGAGAGAGACAAAAGTTGGAGGATCAGTCACTGTTCAGACCAAGTTGTCTCATTGTGTCCTCAGGCAAACACTTCACCCAATATGAAAATAGTGTGAGCATATTACAAGTGTAAGGCTCTACTATTGTTATTGTTGTTGTTGTTGTTGTTGTTGCTACTGCAACAATGCCCAAGGGTTACACATTTTACACATTCACAAAACAAGATAATACATTTTTAACTCCTACACTGTAAATATCACATTTTGGGTTTATAATATTGCTAATTTGCCTAATTGCTAATTCAATGTAACTTTACCTTTTTAACCAGCTGGATTTGCTGCACTGGGTCTGTTAGCTGCAAACAGGACTGAAGAGTCTTAGCAACATTTTGAACCCCATCCTCTTCTCCTCCATCAATGGACAAGGACGCTTTAAAACACAATACAATAATATCACTCACAACATGATCAGAAATGTAGTCGGTAGAGTCGATTATAAAATAGATAAGTAGCAACAGTTTTTAATTAGTTCTTACCTATTAATTTTGAAAGCTGGTCTCCATCTAACACAACAGCCTCAACTTTGGGCGTCTTCTTTTTCACCACCATGACTAATACCTTAAAAATCACAACCAAATAAACAGGCATTAATAAGAGTACTACTATGTTATAATATTAAGTCATTTTTGAGCACAAATACTGCACATTACTCAATGAACTTAATGAATGAGCTACTAACTAACTATTTTTTCTGGCTGGATAAGACTGTTTGCGTGTATTTTATTACTCGGTTTAAAAAAATAGGATAAAAAATACCACAAAATAAACTTTAAGATATTTCGTTACGCATTGTCACTGCTGTCATCACTTTCCCATGCTTTAGTGAGTTTGGCATCTTTAGCTCAGCTGCTAGCAACTAATTTTAGGTATTTTTGTTATTTTTTAGGACAAAATTAAAAAGCACAGGACAGACAAGAGGTGACAATATAACGCGTTAAATAAGCATAAATAAAAGCTGTATAATTCTCAGTTTCGTGCATAGTAAAAATAAAACCCTCACCGGAGTTTGAGCCGCATGTGTTTCCTCTCAGCTGTGCGCTTCTACCGAGCGGCGCTGGCACCAACACGCCACAGCGCCACCTACAGGAGAGGAGGGTGACAGGAGTATTATTTACAACAATTACATGTTTTTTTTAGTTTGCATTGAGAATGATTTTTCTTATTTCCCTTCAGATAAAATAGGGTTAAGTTTAGCCACAATCTGCTTAGCTTTACTTGATCCAGAATTGCTGTTGTGTCCGTAGGCAAGACATTTCACTCATCTTACCTGGTGTGAATGTGGCAAGTCTGTGAAGGTTTGTGAAAACTGGCTGGTGGTGGAAGGGGCTGATGGTCCTTATTAGGAGAGAGAAAGAGAGAGAAAGGGTTTAGTAATCCCGAGGGAAATTCAAGTTTGCTGCTGTTGCTGTTTACTGTTGCTGTTTACATTTACACTGTGGGTCTCAGTCGTTTCAGTCTCAGTCAAAGGTCTCGGTGCTTTTTAACAGGAGGACTGGTCAGGAGTGTCAACAGATGAGTCAAAAATGTTCCTCCTCTATGTCCTGCAGCATCACAGCAGTGTCCAGTGGGAGCCAGGTATAAACACAACAGGAAAGGCCTTGTCCTTACTCCCTTCTGGTGTTTTGGTTGGTAATGAAATGGTCCGTTCAATCAGTGTTTCCTCTGAAAGATCTTCTTCCATATTTGCTGCCAGATCTGGTGTAAAAAGCTTGTAGCACCTCAAATATCCATAACTCCTTAGCTAACCTTAACAGACTTCATGGATAGAGGAAAAACAAACCGCTCAGCTTTAATAAAATCCAACAGCTCATTATTTTGTATGTTGTATTGCACTTGTTGCACTTCTACTACTGCCATGGGGATTGCATAATTTAATGTTTTGTCCTTCCAATTACATTAACTATAACTATATCAATTATAAATCACATCATGTTGCATCCCCAAGTGTTACCAAAAGTTACTCTTACTTTTCCCACATACTTTTTTAGTCTAACTTAGTAATTTCTTGTACCACAACTTCCATTTCTACTTGTAATATCACTTTGTAGTAATGTTACTCTTACTTGAACGCAACTTTTAATTACTCTTATCCACCTCTGTATAACAATAGCTGTGGCATAGGCCTTCAAAAGAACACATCTTGTTAAGGAGGCTTATTACTGTTTCATTATCTTCTTTAGGCCTGTTTGATTTCTGAAAAAGGGCTTAAGGAACATTGATGTTTTGAGAACTATTAGCTATTTTATGAACATGTCCATTATAATTTGCCTATTCATTGTTTAGTGCAATCATGACCTTACACAGAAGCAATATCCCTGAAAACACTATTGATTCATGACTGGTACAATGAGAAAAACATTGATTAATCCGCTCCACAGAGCTTGTATTGAACATGTTGGCACACACGTTTCGCAGGCAGCCCCAGGGGTCATGAAAAAGCGCTCCGTGTTTTGATTGGCTGTTTTAGACGTCAATCATTCCCAGACCCGCCTTTGGGACATCTGATTGGCTCCTGTTGGTAAAGCCACGCCTCCTCCATCTCTAACTTTTTGCCTCGGAGCTGGAATGAAAACCGCTGGGAAAGGCAGAAAGTCAACGCTGGATGATCGTGAATTAGGAAACTTTGGACAAAAATAAAAACAGAAGCTCACGTTTGGAAATGTCGACATGACGTGAGGCTGCGTTTATAAGCTACTCTCTGCTTTACAAGATTCAGGGTAAGTAAACTTTGAATTGCGATAGTTTTTTCCTCAAAATATACCAACTTAATTCAAGGTTAACAGTGTTTTGCATTAACAGGTTTAGGAAAGACTCGTTTGATTCATTTGTTGTTCATAGTTTGCTGTATATTAAAGCTTATTTGAAGCCTGTAGCTGAACAAAACGAGTTTATACGTTTACAAGTTTAAGGTCTCTTGCCAAACTGTCTGTAGTGATACTAATTTAACTCTTTATTGGCCTATAACTTTATAATTTCATAGGGTACAGCTTAATTAGCCTACTAGTAAAATACTAGTATGTCATCTTTTCCAAATTATAAAGTATCAGTGTAGTTATTGGTAGAAGAACTTTTAATATTATTATAAAAATGTGTTATAGTGATTGGCCTGTTGTAATGAGTAAGTAACTAGGGATGTAACGATATTATCACGATATGCATCTCACGGTACGATATTTATTGCGATATTTTGGAGAGTTTGTTATAAGTTTAGATAGGACACTTTTTTTAAATATCCTGATAAGATTTTGGTGTGAATTATTACTCATAATCCCAAAAATTCAAGTAAAAAACATTAAACTTCATGATGTCTGCGCTGAAATGAATCATGGGATGTGTAGTTCCTGATGTTTATTAGCTATTGCTACTATAAAAACACGCATTTAAGCATAGGAACTTGTAATTCGATATATTGTGATGCCGTACGATGTTATTGTGAGACTTTTGACGATACGATATCACAATATTTGGGTTATTGTTACATCCCTAGAAGTGGCAAGAGTAGAAGTTGTTCTTGATAATAAAGTTGTCTACTAAATCACTCCTTTGCCAAACAGAAATGATCAGTTTTTATATTTACTGTCCTGCTCACTCCTGAAATTTCACTATTTTACATTTGAGATTCACTTCTAACTAAGACATAAACTTACAGTAAAAACAGACATTATTATTAAGTGCTTTGGTGTGTTTGCACTTTTTCACTCAAAAAGGCTATTTTATTTATTAAATGTGTGTGTAGCATCCCTCTTAACTCCTTATTTGCTCATAAAAAGCGTATATTCCCAGTATAATGTGTGACTGTTCGGTGAGGCCTCTTCTTTCACACAGGGCTCAGGTCAAAGCTGAGGCTTTACTCACAGGAAGTGGCTGAATGAAAGAAACACAGTCAGGGTTCAGGAGCGCTCACCAACCACATCGCGTTTATCATAATACTGTCACGCCTGGAGCACAGAACAGAGGAGAGCTGGAAAATACTGTATCAGAAGTACATAGACCCTGGGTACCCAACCTTTTTCAGTGTGTGACAGGGTTTTTATTATTGATTTAATCACAATTATGCAACATCGCACAGTGTAGGCCTAATATTGATTAATAATAACTTGCCTATTATTGAATACAGCTGTCTAATTTCTAAATAGATGTTGGTTTTCAGCTTATATTTCATTTTGAGGACAGCTGAACATCCAAAATATATAACATATTTAGTGCTGAATTGTTATATTGTCTATGACAAATGTCCTAAAATCATTCTGAAACCTATGGATATCCAACAAAGTTTACTTGCTGTCACTTGAGAATCAAATCCAATGTTTACAGCTCGTAAAATTAGTTATTTAAGACTGTTTAACCTGCGTATTTTGACAAGTAAAAGTGTTAGTATTTGCTCTGTTTGTTGAGTATTGTCCCCTGACATTTGCGCTGCTGCTGCTTAGCGAGAGGGACTTTTTCATTGCTCAGTGCAGTGTTTACCACAGCACAGACTGCAGCAGAAATAACTCTTTTATGGCCGTCTCTGCACATGTTTGAGTGTTTTTGTGAGCGCACCCGCGTCTTAATGACAGGTTACTACAACATAAGAAAGACCAATGCTTTTCTATCAACCTTCATCTGCCTGACACGCTGGATCCATCTGAATCTATGATTTGTTTTAAAATGTACGGTTGGGAAAATTTGTCATGTTTAGGAGCAGTGGAATTGTATTTTGTTTTCTTTTGGAAGGCAGAGATAACGCCCAGTGGTCACATCATGTTGGAACATTTCAGGTGCAGACTGTTTTCAAAACATGAGGCAAAAGTTACTCTCAGTCTCGATTTACCCCTCTGCTTGTAGTAAAGTAAAAGTTCACAGAAAGATATATATTTTTGGAAGCAATTAAAACACCTGTAATTGAATAGATGATAGAAAAAAAGGTAACAAAGTACAACATTTGTATGGAGACAAGCAAGTGTAAAATGACATTGTACATCTTTAAAAGTTTGAGGAAGACTCTGAAATGTTGTCGTCACATACATTTTTTGGCATATTGCTCACCCCAAGTTACCAGATGGTTGTTGGCTTGAATCCTTTGACAAACTCTCATGTCCGTGGAAAACACGTCATGTTTTCCATCACCGTTCCCTTATCAGTTTAACTCACACAAGGTCATATCCTGATACACCCTGGAATATGCTTTTAAACTTATTTCAACCTTACCATTAAGCACTGGCTCTATTGACTGTTAATGTAGCTGAAGGTGAATGATTCTCTGATGGAATATTTGCTTGACCAACATGGATTAGAGTTACGCAACAACATTTCACCAGGTTACTCAGGCAACACATTGAAAAGACAACAGCTTCAGGGCTCGGCAATTTGCCAAAAAATGTATCATGATTTTATTCCCAATATTGAACCTTTTTTTTTTTTTTTTATTTACAAAAATAATGCATGTCGTGAACTTAAAATATGTTAAACTTGTAATCGATGTCATTTAACACTAAAAAGTCTGAACTCTGCTCCAAACCACATGCTTCAGTCAGAGGACTGATTTTGGAAGTCTCGAATAAAAAGACCCAAGCTGATCATTGATGATTAGAAATGACTAGGGATGTAACGATATCCAAGTCTCACGATAAGATATTGTCACAGTATGAACCTCACGGTACGATATTTATTGTGATATCGTGGGGAAGCTCACGATGTAACAATATCCAAATCTCTCTGTACGATATTTTCACGATATACATCTCACGGTTCGATATTTATTGCGATATTTTGTGGACTTTAACAAAACTGTGAATATGCAACGTTTTCATCTTAAAATGCCTCGACAACACTTAATCCAAAGAATTAAGACTTAAAAGTGTTAGAACTGTTATTTCTATTATCTATTATAGTCTATACTGAAATGAAGCAAAGGATCATGGTCTATGTAGTTCCCACAGTTTTTTTTAGCTGTTGCTGCATCATAACTCTTAATTTAAGCAAAGACACTTGTAATTTGATATATTGTGATGTTCCGTGACATTATTGTGAGAACTTTGATGATATTTCGGTTATTGTTACATCCC